AAGCATACTTTTATAAGTACATTTCAGTTACTAAAAGGATTCAAAGTTGGCTGTGATTGGTAGATTTTTACACGTAGGTTAAACAGACTTATAGTTTGAAAACCTGAGTTAGTTGCCATTAGTTAGTTCTGGATTATTGAGATTTTGTTGGGTTATTGAACTTAGGTTTTTAGTGTATTTTAGAACATAAATAAAATAGATGTATAGCTTCAATTTTTAATAGAACTTATTTCTATTAAATAGCACCTGTGGAACCTTCTCAAGAGGAACAATCATGTGAAGGTAAGCATCTATAATATGACTCTTTGAATATCTAATTGAGAAAACATTTAAGTTGCCTGTAGTGTATAAAGCTAAATATTGTTTTGTAAATATATATTATATCTCAATTTCTTGTCTAGGTTCAAATTCAGTTGTTAGCATGGAAGTTTCAGAACCTGTTGGTAAGAAAATTTCTGACCATGTTAATACAGTATTTTGAAACTCATTCACTCAAGATTTAAGGTGTACATGTAAGTGTTATGATTATTGTAATGTCTACATTTAACACTGACATTGAATCTTTGTGTTTGGATTGACAATGCCATGATAAATTTAGTAGTTGTCAATATAGAGGAATTGGGTGGAAGAATGCTAGTCAGTTTAAATAGTTATACTTGTTCCATTTACTTTGTGAGAAATTCCTTTGTGTAACTTTCTTATTTTTAAGGGTTTTATATTTACAAAAATTTGATACCAAAGATATTACTTGTAGAGGGAAAAGAAAAGAGCCCCTAAATCCTGTGTTCTGGTTTTAAACTTTCCCTTTTTTTCCACTGTCAGGGCATTTTGATGATGGAGTTACTGGGTTGTTACAAACGATACATCCCCTGTTCACATTTTGTTTGTCCTTATGAAATGAAGCTTTAAAAAAATAGCAATCTCTTGTAGTCTCTGAGTCAGCAGTGAGGCCAGCTTGAAAGCCACTATCCATTTCTGTTGTGAAAGATACTTTCCTATGTGTCACTAGACATTGGAAAATGGAACTAAATATGCAAAGTTCTATTTGTTGTTTAAAAGCATCTGTGTTTTAAAGTATAGACTCTAAATTTTTTACCAGAATACTGAGTTAAAATACCTTATTTCAGTAGAAAATGGGGAGACAGAAATGTCCCCAGAAGACTCATAGGAGCACAAAGAAGAAACCAGGGAAAAAGAGCCAGTGGGAGCTCCTTGGGAGGTGGAAGGCCCCCAGAGGAAAGTGCCCAGGAGATGATGGAGGAGGAAGAGGAGATATCAAAACCCAAATCTGTGGTTGCTCCGCCAGGTGCTCCTAAGAAGGAACATGTATATGTAGTATTCATTGGTCATGTAGGTAAGTTGCATTCACAGCAATAAGAAATGACCAGAGTTACTGTGTACAACAAACAGAACATCTTACTT